ACTGATATCTTTGTGGTCTTTCCAGGAAGAGGCTCAAGGCTCCCTCCCATACAAGATTTGTCCCAACAGCCTAGTGCAGATCTCCCAGCATGCCACATAGCAGAACCATGTCATTTATGGCACTCGGGGTCAGGAGGCTATTTCAGTATGTCAACTAAGAGTTCAGAAGCCCTGAACCTAGGCTAGAACTGAGTGGCAGATGTAATTAGTGCTGACTCAGTAATCCACGTGCTCCCCATTAGTCCCCAGCCACCGCTATATGGCTAGTGTAGATCAATGGACTCAAAGCAGAAATGACAATGTCATTCCCAACAGGCAGTGGAAAGCCAGAGGGCCTCCTTTTCCCTCTCCTTTCATGGTTATACCAAAGGTTATATGTTCCAAATGGGGAACTACAAGATGGTAAGTGAAGAAAAAATAAATCCTGGATTGAGTGATTGCCTGGAACAAGCCTCCAGTCCACCCAATCCAACCACACTCAAATAGTAACCCAAGAGAGAAATAAGTATTGGCTATAGTAAGCCATTGAGATTTGGGGTTTAATTTATTACCACACTATCTCTAGGGAAACAAATTCACTTGAGAGAACTTGTGAAGATAAAATTAAAGGGACTTCAGGGTCCACTAATGGCAGACTAGGTAATTCAGACCAACCTTCACACTAGAAAAAAATATATATTGTAAATGACTGCTCAAAAGCATTGAAGAGCTAGCATGGCCGTGAAAATTTACCTGGCCATCTAGGAGGAGAAAAAAATCCAAAGCAGCGAACTTGACATTTGAGGCCACTTTTCACCTGGGAGCATGTTATTGATAACAAAGGCAGTGTTGGACAGCTGAGCAGTTTGATGGCCTGGTATGGATACAAAAGTTGGATGCTGGTGGAAAAACAGTGGTGCAGGTGGGGACCGTGAAGCGCTGTACTCTAGGAAGAAGGGGGAATGGAAAGTAAAAGAGCCTTCACATTGCCTGTGGCCCCGCTTCACACGATCTGGGAGGCCCAGGAGATCGCAGGCCTTGCAATTGGATGAAAGATCCCAGATTGCTAGTGCCTTCGGGCTCCTGGAAGAAGCAAACAAAAATCCTCTCTGGAGAGAAAAAAAAAAACAACACATTATTTTAAGCTTAAATTCATTTATACAAACAACGTTTCATATACAAATTCAGATACAAAAACAAAAACACAGGCACAGACTGAAATGAGATAATAGGAACAAGAATCACCAAAATGCCGTAATCCAGTGGTCGGCAAACTCACTAGTCAACAGAGCCAAATATCAACAGTACAATGATTGAAATTTCTTTTGAGAGCCAAATTTTTTAAACTTAAACTATATAGGTAGGTACATTGTTATTAACTTAATTAGGGTACTCCTAAACTGGCCTTTGCTAAAAAACGTCCTCAATCTGATTGAGGTACGTTCACTGAGGTCAACCCCTTCCAACTCTCCCATCCACACTCGTCTTGTATACTTGTTTCGTCTATCTCCTTTCATTCGTCCTCTCTATATGCCCAAACCATCTCAACATACCTTTCTCAATTCTTGACACTACATCTTCTTTTACTCCACAAGGAAAACCGACTTCTGCACATGGGCCACGAAGTTTCAATCACACTATATGTATGCGCCCGCACATGGTATTTTGTAGAAGAGCCACACTCTAGGGGCCAAAGAGCCGCATGTGGCTCACGAGCCCCAGTTTGCTGACCACTGCCCTAACTGGTTTGGCTCAGTGGATAGAGCGTCGGCCTGCGGACTGAAGGGTCCCAGGTTCGATTCTGGTCAGGGGCATGTACTGTGGTTGTGGGCACATCCCCAGTGGGGGGTGTGCAGGAGGCAGCTGATTGATGTTTCTCATCGATGTTTCTGACTCTTTGTCCCTCTCCCTTCCTCTCTGTAAAAAATCAATAAAATATATTTTTTTTAAAAAAATCACCAAAATGAGCAGAAAATAGAACTACATGGTCTCCAGATAGTGGCACTGATCGGGCTTTAAAATATGTAGTTTATTATGTTCCGGGAGCGGCGGGGGGAATGGAATTAAAAATTTCAACAGAGAACTAGAAATGTTTTTTAAAAGACATAGCAGAATTGAAAAGGAACCAATAAATGTTCTAAAACTAAAAAAACAATAACTAAAATTAAGTGCACAATGGATGAATTTTTTTACTGGAATAGATGAAGAGAAAAATAAAGAACTCAAAAATAAGTCAGAAGAAGATGTTCAGAATGACACAGAAAGAGGCAAAAGGCTGGAAAATACAGAAGAGATAGTCGGCATCCTACACACAGTCCAGCACCCATTTAACTGGAGTCCTGGAAAGAACATAGAGAGAGAATATAGCAAAAGCAGTATCATGAGAGACCATGGTTAAAAAATTTCCACAATTGATGTAAGACATTGAGCCGCAGATTGAATTAAATGGACTTGGCAGTAAAGAAAGGGCTACTTTTTAAAATAAGTCAACAATTCTGACTCCAGCAAAAGAGTACTGCAATTTCCTGAGATAAACACAGAAAAGGAAGAATGGGTTTGTTGGGGTTGGGAGGAGTCAGTGTGAAGTAGAAATAGCAGATGTCAAGTTTTACCTGTTGAATTTAACATCTAGGCAGGGATAACAAATGTGCCATTATTTCTTGAGTAATTGTTCTTTTTCTTGTTGTGTTCAGGAGTCTCCAAAACTTTCAATCTTTAAAAAGAACTAGTTAAACCTTTTTGCCTCAAGAATCTAGCACCCTTACAGGCCTCCTTTCCTCCTTCTCGAATCCATGGTTTGCCTCCAAGGCCCGATCTACAAATGGATATTTACACCAAAACATACAATGACTTGCAAACTGCATCTGCCTGGTGTTCATTATAATTATCCGTTCAAGGCAACCTTCACAACACCCCTCACAACAAAATAACGTGCTTTTTAGTTATAACACCATGATCCAGGGCTCCATTATTTTTAATACTACAAAGGCAAGTTACAGGTACCCTAAATGCTTTGATTTACCAAAATGTGAAATTTCTGCATCTGACAGTGACTTTAAATGATGGAGCAAATACAACTTGGTGTCACAATTTACAATATTACCTTAAGGATTATCATGAGGTTTTTTTTTAAGTAGTTATTTGACTTTATTAACAGAAGAAAAAGAAAACACTGGGTACCATAAAGTTCTCTCTTTTTCTTTTTACTTAGAAAACAGCACGACTTTCACAATAAATTCTGTGGCTAATGGATGAAAATAACATAGCATGCTTTCTTTTCAACTGAAAGTTCCCAAAAGGTTAAAAGATGACAATGATGATGGCTAATGTTTATTTAGCACTTTCTACATGCCAGAAGCTATTCTAAGGGACTTACATGAGTTCACTCATTAAAGACATTTAAAGACAGATGATAATATAAGTTATATACTAATGATATAAAGAATATTATTTAATGGAGAATTAGGCAATTCTTTTTTTTAACTCAACTCTGCTGGTACAATTGGGGACCAGAAATATATATATATATATATATATATATATATATATATATACACACTTTACAATAATAAACTACATGCAAATGTATTTTCCACAATATTATATTTTTCTTCTGAAAGTATAAATAAAATTTTCAAAAACAATGAACAGGAAAATAATTATATTTTCAAACAACTCTTTACATGCCAACATTAAAATTTAAAATACATTAAATTTTAAAATATATCTGAAGAGTATCCATGTTATTGCCTTATGCAAATAAAATATAAAATTTTCAACACTAGGTCTAGTTGTCCCAGATGTTTTCATTCTAGTATTTCCCTGTATAACTACTACCATATTATCGTTTCCCCTGAATATCATTCCAAATACAGTCATTAAGAATACCTCAATCATAATTTTGTATAACTTAGTCAAACTTTCTAATATCACCAGCAGAAATGGCTAAAGACATACATTTTTTTAAACAGACATTTTTTCAAGAAAATTTCACCCAATAAAATGCATGATCTGATTTTTTAAATTACTGAATGTCTTAATGATTTATAAGTAATTTGGAACATTACTTAACAACATTCTTGATATTATGAAGGGTTGAAATTTAATAGCCAAGCTTTTGTTTACCTCTTCTTTGCCATTTTTGATTAGAGATTCCTGGAAATTTACTATCTTACATAGCCTTTTCTTTTTCTTTCTTTTTTAAAACCATTTTAATCTCTCCCATAGTCTGTGACCCTTGTTATTTTTTTAAAAACTATGAATTCACAGAATCATTTGACTTTTTAGGTCACAGCCCTTCATCCAACATGTGAATGCTCTGCCACATTAACCCAAATGCTTCCCATCCCCTGCACCAGCCAAAAGATGAAGTTATGCACAAGACAGCCCACTGCGTTGTTTTCATTATTAAAACTGTCTTTCCTACCCTAAGGTGAAACCTTCTTCCCCAAAACTAATACCTATTTTGGACCCCACCAACCTCAGCACTGGCCCTGGCAGAATGACTTTGGGCCAGTCAATCTGCAGCTTCCTTAGTTGTAAAATGGGGATAAGAACTGTATGTCACTGTGGGTGTGCAGATTCAATGAGGAGGTTCTAAAGCACCTGGCACAACACAGGGCCTCCCTGAGCACAGCCTTTCTCAGGGTTAGGAAACCTCCTCTGCATGGCTGCTCTCAGAAATGCAGTGGCAGCTACTGTTTTCTCTCCTCCAAGCCAAATATCTCCATTTCCTCTTTTTTTTTTTCCTTTTTAAAATTTAGTATTTCAGAGAGTAAGGAAGAGGGAGAGAGAGAGAAACATCAATGATGAGAGAATCATTGATCAGCTGCCTCCTGCGTGCCCCCTATTGGGGACCGAGCCTGCAGCCTGGGCATGTGCCTTGACCGGAATCAAACCCAGGACCCTTCAGTCCTCAGGTTGATGCTCTATCCACTGAGCCAAACCAGCAAGGGCCCATTTTCCTTAAAAAAAAAAAAAAAAAAAAAAAACCTATATATATAAATATACCTATTTTGTCAGCTTAGCGCACATTCCATACCCATAAATGTCATTGCAAGATAATATCTCTTTTCTCTATTGCTGATTAAATCTTCTCTCCCCCTCCCCCACCTCCAGGGTCCCCATATTTAACCCCCCGGCAAGCTGGGCTACGGGGAAGGCAATAGGTATGGATACTTTCTGGTTCTAAGGTGAGGGGAGGACAGAAGTGCCCCTCAAACATTAGGCTGTATCTGAGAAGCTTCCCTCTTCATTCTGGTACGATGTCAGCTCACCCTCATCAAGGGTCACTCCCCCCTGCCCTCTCCATTCCTTCCTCTGGATTTCACAATTCTGGGTGGTGGCTCCATATGACATCTTCTTTCTGGGACTTGCAAGACTCTCATGGTTGAGTTCTATCTCCTCAGCTAATTCATCTTGGTCGATGATTCCACACTTCTCCTCGGAGAGGTTCTCAGGGTCGGCCCACTCCTGTTTCTCCCCCGAAGCAAAGACCCCATAGAAGACCACGCCACTGTAGTGCACCAGGGCAGCGATGAGGAACACATTCTGCCATTCCTCGCGGGTCTAAACAGGAAACAGTACTGATCATTATTTTAACAAGAAAAAGAGAGAGAGAGAGAGATGAACAGAATGCTCTGGACAAAAGCACCGGTCACCCCAAAGGCAATGTTGTGCTCCTGGGAAGCCGTCAGAAGCATGAGTGCATGAGAAATGAAGGTTATGACTACAATGAATATGCATTTTTTTAATTTATAACAATACTTTACAAAATAAGCATCATGTAAAATACAGCTCTCTGAATATACAAAAGAGGTTTCCACTCAGCTAGTAGGTTAAATGAAACTTGCTTTCGGAACCCACCATTTTAATATCAGAGGTCTCAAATCAGAGGTCTCAAAAAAAATTTCCATTTGAGCCATGAAAATACTCAGTCTTGCCCTAACTGGTTTGGCTCAGTGGATAGAGCGTCGGCCTGCGGACTGAAGGGTCCCGGGTTCGATTCCGGTCAAGGGCATGTACCTTGGTTGCGGGCACATCCCCAGTAGGAGGTGTGCAGGAGGCAGCTGATCGATGTTTCTAACTCTCTATTCCTCTTCCTTCCTCTCTGTACAAAATTAATAAAATATATTTTTTTAAAATAGAAAATACTCAGTCTTCACTGTCAATAGCTTATTTATAATTATATTTTCTGTGTAAAATACCATATCAAAAATAATGGGTATTTGTGTTTAAAGTTAAGGGAAGATAGTGACTGAGATTTCGTAGGCATGTTATCAATCTTATCATCTCACTAACAGAGAGGGAAACCGAATATTCTCTGACTGTAATAATCTCCAAATCCCATCTTTCTTTTCTATCAACAAATAAGGAACATTGCCCAGTGGCATGGCTCAGTGGTTGAGGGTTGACCAGGAAGTCACGATTTGATTCCCGGTCAGGACACATGCCTGGGTTGTGGTGGCCTTGATCCCCAGTGTGGGGCGTGCAGGAGGCAGCTGATCAATGATTCTCTCTCATCATTGATGTTTCTATCTCTCTCTACCTCTCTCTTCCTCTCTGAAATCAATAAAAATCTATTTACTAGTAAAAAGAAATAAGTAAATAAGAAAAATTGCCCACGCTTTTTTCTCCCAGAAGCTGAGTGACTTTCTGAAGTTGTATTTGCAATAGGCAATCCAAGTTAAAAAAAAAATATGCATAACCCATGAACACAGACAATAGGGTGGCGAAGGCCTGGGCGGGCTAGAAGGCGTCAATAGGAGGAAAAGGGGGACATGTGTAATACTTTCAGCAACAAAGAACTATTTTTAAAAAATAATAGGGTAAAAACAACATAGTTTCAAAAATTCTTATTTGTAGAAAGCAGAATCCTGAAGCCTCTTCAGTGACAGAGATTAAGAAGCCGTGTGGCCTGTGGCTGAACTCTGCATGGATCTGGGCTCCTCCTCCCTGGTCTAAATGCAGAAAAGCTCAGTACTGACCGAGTGCCATACCCTTCTTAGGACGGGTCATTAATGTCTTATTTATTTTCTGTATAATAAGGAAATATAACAGCACTATTTTTATGCTGGAACATGTTAAGCAATAGATGGAAATGGGCTATAAAGTTTAATTACTTAGAATCATAAAACAATCTTGAGTAATTTATTCATCCTGAGTTGATTGCCTCAGTTTCTTCCTGTCTCCAAACAGTCTTTATGGTACTTGTCCCCACTACACACACACCTTTTATTTGTCAGTTGAGAAATTGAAACATAGAATCAAAATTAATCAGTCCCATTGCCATCAATCAACAATAAATTAAAGAAGGAGGAGGAAGGAGAGGAGGAGGAGAGGTGAGGGAAGGAAGAATGGGAGGAAGGGATGGAGGGAGAAATAAAGGGGGGAGATGAAGAGATGAAGAAAGAGAGATGAAAAATAAGATAAGTTCAAATGACTCAGCCAAGCTCAAGGACAAACATTTACAGGCTGGGGTAGGGCTTTGAAATCACAAGTTTGTGCAATATTTCAGTCCTCTGATCCTCACAGCCCAAAAGGAGGCCATTACCTTGTGTTTGGTCATTGCACCAACAATGAGGGGACAGACCATTCCAGAGAGGGTTCCCACTCCATTGGAGATGCCCATGAGAATGCTGGCGTAACGGGGGGCAATGTCCAGGTGGTTGACATTAAAACCTACAGTGAAGCAAACCTCAAAATCAGAGTCAAGACCAGAATCCCAAATACGTTTTGGAAACTACTTAGTTTCCCCCCAACTCTCATCAATCTATGTGGTTTCTTCTAGCATAAGACTAATGGGTACCTGTACAGAGAGGGCTGGGCTGAGGACTGTCAGGCTGTGTCTGCATCTAGAGGAAAGTGTGCTGTGATTGATTAGCAATGTCTGCATGGACTCTCCAGAGAGAAAATTAAGGCACCTGTGCCTTTTAGGTTCAGAACTCCAAAATAATGGTGTTTTCAATACTGAAAAGCAGAAAGCCTGGGTCACATTTATTCAGAGTAAACAATCACACAATCACATTTGGTGTGATGAGAATCAAACCCTGCCTCATAACATCCTCCCTTCCAGCCCTCCCCTCACTCCCTATAGCCACCCTAGGGAAGTCTGCCTTATTAGTGGCCAAATGGCATACTGGCTAAGGTACTTTTTAAGTAATACAATTGAAGAGACATTGGCAGAATTCCCTGTAATTTACAAAACACTTCTGTATAATACTTGATTTCGAATCCATAAATCTAGATTTTAATCTTATTTCTAACATTTAAGTCATTTTAGACCTTTGTTACCTCATCTCTAATATGGGGTATTATTACTACTTAAGTCATAAAGATGCTGTAATATGAGACCAAGGTGAAGTATGTATGTAATATCCCATGGCAAAAAGCTAAGCCCTGCTAACTACCACAAGCCACCACTAACCACCATTAACTACTACTACCACTACCACAACTATCAATACTACCACTAACTAGCACTACTACCACTAACCACCACTAACTACCACTGCTACACTAACCACCACTAACTACCACTAACACCACTACTACCACTACCATTACCAGTACTACTCCTGCTATGATGTTGTTGCTAGGCATCTCCTCTCTTTGATCAAAAGATGCTGCTGCAGGGAGTGGTAAAATAATAACTTGCCAATACCTCACTATTCACCTGTTTATCAGGAGAAAAGAGTGAGTGGAAATGGGGAGGAGTGGCGGCAGGGGAAGAGCCAGGCTGCAAAAGGGACAGCTTCAGGCCCTAAGAACCAACTCTACTAATATTGCCCAATGGTGCATTTTAGAGTCAGACAGGCCTGCCTCTGATAGCTTAATTGAGATGCAAACCTGGACAAAGGATTTAAACTTTCTGAATTCCACTTCTTCATCTATAAACTGGCATAATAATTCTTATACAATTGTTGTAAGAATTCACTTAAATAATGTATGTTCATTACATGGCACATAGATGTAGAAACTAGCACATATATGGTTTTTTTGGTTGGTTATCCATCTGTCTTGTTTCTATTTTAATACCTGAATTGGCAAAGTGTCTGGCACACAGTAGGCACTCAATAAATCATCATTTAATTAATTGCCAATTTGAGCCATGACATGACAGCAGGGGGTTGTAATTTCTATTTATTCATTTTTTGGGTATTGCTTTGCTTTTAAATTCTCTATTCTGTGCAAAGAACCTGAAAATAGGATCTAAAATTGTTTGTCCTAATCTGGCACATTGGCTGGTTGCTTTTTCCTACTTCCATTCAGGAAAATTTTTGAGAAAACCTTTTTTTTTTTGTAATAAACATGCCATCTCTTTCAGATCAATGTGACAGACAATTCTAATATGAAACAGCTGCAAAATTAATTAATCTTGCTGTTGATTTCAATGTGATAAACACTTATTAGAAAAGAACCCAGAGATAAGAAGCAATTAATGTGATTGTTGAGCATTATATTCCAATGCAAAGCCCAGATATCTGTGTTCAGTTAAAGGTAAGGTTCAATTAAAGATTAGGTTTCTAGCTGCATAATCCTGGTGTTCAGGGGGGGAAAAATCACTGAGAAACTCAGTTTTGTGTGTGTGGTGTTTTTTTGTAGCATATAAAAATATTTTTGTTGGCATCCAAGCTGGGAGAGTCTGTCTTCTCTACGTAGGACATTTCTCAAAACAGGCATCACCCACCCCTTGTCGCTTTCAATGTCACTGTCTTGACTCTCTCGTCTATAATCAGCTCCTAAATTGTGCCGGTCTTCGTTGGCCTCTCTATTAACTCCTTATGAAGTTGGCAGGTAGTAGATCCCGAGGAACTGTCGCCCCCATGGCCACAGCCCCTCCCATCGTATCACTGTCAGGTCAGGCAAGGATTGCTCTGTCCTTGCTACTCAGCGTGTGGACCACTGAGCAGCAGCAGCAGCAGCAGCTTTGCTGAGGAGCTTATTATAAATGCAGAATCTGAGGCCCCGCCCTGGACATGCTGAATCAGAACCTGCATTTTGCAAGATCCTAGGGTGAGTTGTGTGCACATTGAAGTGGGAGAAGGACTGGGCCATCGTGAATAATAACTGAACAATAATAGTAAATACGTATTAATTTTGTTATGCCTCCCATACCAGGCTAAGGGCTTCTAACGCTTTATTTCCACTAGAATGTAAACTTTATGAGAATAGATTCTTTGATTTCTTTTTTTCAATGCACAGTGCCTGGCTCATGGGACGTGTGAGTAAATGCATGAATCAGTTCATTGAGATCTCTCAACAGCCCTTGTGAAGTTGCCATTACATCTTTCCAATCTCTAATAGAAAAAATTGAGGCTTGAGAATTTAATAACTTAGCAAATTTTTCTTTCATAAATAGTAAGCAATAAAGAGAGGTCTCAAACCCAGGTCTATATACCTCCAAACCCAAGTTCTCAGCTGCAAGCTACTTTTAAAGTAGACGTTTTTCCCTCTAAGTTAACTATTCACCAGATCTACTTATTTTGATACGGTCAAGCCCCTACTTTAGGGTAGTTTAAACCAGAGGTTCCATATTTTTCTGTTCTGGGATGTTACCACTCTGATCCTTCCAGCCGCCTGGAATGCTGGGAAGAGCCCAGACCTGGTGCCAGGCAGAACCGCCCCTCAGTTCTTCCTTTGCCACCGATTGTGTGATCACAGGAAAGTACCCAATTTTTCTGACTTTAGGTACCTCATGAGTAAAACAGTGATATTACTGTTTGTTTCCCAATGTCGTAAGACACAAGCAATTTATGTAAGGTGCTCTGTAAGTGATGGCTTCTAGTATTATGGTATGTTTTAAAGGCACAAGAACAATTGAATTTTACTTTTCACCCAGTTTTGCATAGGAGCTTCTGAAGTCTGTAAGACATGATACGGCAGCATTAGGACCTCTCCCACGCAGTAGACTGCATCCTGCTCCTATAAACGGGGGTGCTGACAGCCCCCCCAGGGAGCTGAGAATTACAAGGATTGATGCACACACAGGGCTTTGAATAGTCTGACACAGAGTGCACTTGATCGCCATTAGCTCTCGCCATCAGCTCTCACTGTCACCGTCATTATTCTTACTATCTGTCCCAACCTGTTCTGAAAGTCACTTCTCTGCACCTGCATTTCCTAGTTTGGAAAATGAAGGTCACAGAGTAGACAAAATCTAGAGAAGCTTTGCATCTAAAAATCTCTTATTGCATGACTAGATGTCAACCGAGCTGATGTTAGCAGTTCTCTAGTTGGAGGTGAGGGTTGAAAAGGTGGCAAGAGCCTCTGGTAGGTAGCGTGACCTGGCTTGGGAGTATGAAGGTGCCACTTCAACCAGGGCACGTGCTTGGGCCTCCGCCCATGCCTCAGGGGTCGCCTGCACTTTGTGTCTTTTTCCAAGATAGAGAAACTGGGGACAATTCTAACTGCACAGGGCTCCTCAGCCCAGTCCTCAGTGATCTCACAGTCATTGCCAATAGGTGACATTCTCTAGCCAGAAGCCCTGCTCCTTGGCAATGGCCTGCCTACTCAAGGAAAAGGACCCATTATAGTTTTCCTTCCTTCCTCCTAAGACTTGCTGGATCTATAGAAAAGATTTGGACATCCGAAGGACACTTTACCTGAAATAGCAAAGCCACTAAACCCCACAGCCAGCACCAGAAAGGAGATAGCCACCCCTTTGGTATGGGAAAAGCCAACCACCAGGAGTAAGGTTGCCTCCATGCCAAAACCTGCGAATGGAAAAACCAAGGGGGGGAAACGTCATTGTCATGTCACTCAGCCTAAGATCATGAACTTACTAAATAAGAATCTATTAATATTTCCATGGACCTAATGTTTAGCATATACATTCTGACAGTGCTTATAAATATTACCCAGGTGTTTCTTGACTACATGACTATGCTACTGTTGCCCAGGTGACTATGCTACTGTTGCCCAGGTAACTATGCTTCTGTTACCCAGGTGACTCTGCTTCTGTTGCCCAGGTGACTCTGCTACTGTTGCCCAGGCGACTATGGTACTGTTGCCCAGGTGTTCTGTGAGCCTTCTGACATTCTCCTGGTGCACCTTGAACACTAAATGGTCCAGCAGATTCTAATGAAGCCCCTGGGATGAGGGATGTTTATCATCAGTTGCTTCATGGGCAGTTGCCCCTGCAAATTCTAATACTAAAACTCTCCTTTATACTGTGAGTGAGTCCCCTTTGTTTACATGTTATGGCCTCTCACAGAAAAATAAAATGACCACACTTTAATACTTATTGCCAAAAGTGACCTTCTATAGAGAATAGCTGAAACAAAAAGCATAAAGCGAAAGTCTTCCCTTTCAGTTCACCAAACTCGGGGCCTCAAAAGTCATGTGATATTCGCACAGAAAATACAGTGGGATAGAAGTGTTTTCTGTGCTTGTCATTCAGGATAAATGACTCCAGCATAGCAAAAAAGGACTAGGAAATTCTGAAGATGCTCCTCTGACATCCAAACACACACACACACACACACACACACACACACACACACACACACTCAGCCAACAGCAGACAGAAGAATGGTGACTTAAGTACCATTTCCGGTATAAACATGCCCTAGGAAATGGGAGACAAGGATACATCATTCTCAAGACTGCTTATTCCAGACATCTCCACAAGACTGTCTATGGCTCCTTCAAAGCCAGCATCCCCAAGTCAAGTCCTGTTCTCCTATTTCTTACTCATAAACCAACAAAGCAAACCACCACTGCCATGCTCTTTCTTCTGCTCTAAATTAATCTTCTATCCACCTGTGTTTAGAACCCAGACTTAGAGTCAGACAGGGCTAGGTTCAGATTTCATCTCAAAACCACCCATTATGTGACCTTGGACAAGTGACTTCACCTCTCAGATTCCTTATCCAAAAAAAAAGGGAGCTGATAACACAACCTTACAGGGCATCGGAAGATTGAATGAAATTGGGTGTTTAAGGTAGTGAGCGCAGTCCCTGGTACATGGGCACGGCTCAAAACATGGTAACCAAAAATCCAACACAGAAATCTCAAAATCTCCCTCTTTCTTGGCGTTTCCATAAGAATCTGTGGGGTCAGTCTCAGAAATATCTGTCAAAACCAGCCTCGCCCTCTCCTCCTCTGCTGCTGTCCTAGGCCTGGGCCCCATCACCGCTCACCTGGACAACTTCAATAGCCTCTTTACTGGTCTTCCCATCCCTTCCTCCTCTGTTCCATTTTCCACATCACTCTTTCTAAACCACAGGTCTAACCATTGTCCCTTTACTGAAAACTGTTGTCAAGGGTCCACAGTAATAGTATAGTCTTATTTGATTAGTCCCTCCTGATGTTCCTGTCTCATCCTCTGCTAACCCGCACCTTCCAGCTCACCACTGAGCCCATATAGCACCCTCTGCTGTAGTCCCAAGCTTCCTGCTATTTCCTAGAGGCGACACTGTTTATGCCTATATGTATTTTCACCCACTGTTCCTTCGCCTGGGATACTCTTCTCCCACCACTTATTTCTCTTTTTCTGGAGAAATGGTATCCTCTAAAGTCCAGTTCAAACATTACTTCCTCTAGAAAGCTTTCCTGACAACCCTGCCCTCACCCCCCAGTGAAGCTGACACCTCCTTCTTCTTATTCATAGAACTTTTCAACATTGCCTGGTATGAGTTTTCATCTGTGTTTCTGCCTCCTCAACTAAACTGTGATATTTTCCAGGAAAGGTACTGTATGGACTTAGGGACTTTTAACATCCTTTCCAGTGATTAAACATAACCTCCAAGATATACTCTGCAGTTCAATGTCATCTCTTTCTAGAAAAGCTGCTTAAACTGCTTATGAAATCCATAGTACCTCCGCAGTTCATGATTTTTCTGACAGCAGTTGTGGTCAGAATTTGTCTGCTTCTTAAATAATCTGCCAGTTGTCCTCCAACAGGCACAATGATGGTCATAACCATGTGTGGGAGTGCCGACAAGAGCCCCACCTGGATGGAAAAGAAAACCAATGAGCTATTTTTAGCTGCTTTCTTCAGATGTACTGATTCCCTGTTCCCACCAGCTACCCTGCCTACCACCATCACCACTAAATTTAATCATCTGCTTAAATGGGACCCAGGTAGGCCTGAATTCTGAAATAAATAAACAATGAATGAGTGAATGATGATAAGAGTAGGCCTAATTGTCTCCTCTAGCAGATTGGAAGCTCCTAAGGGCAGAAGTGACTGTTATACATCATAGAGACCCCACCACCCAGCATAAGGCCTGGTATATGGTAGTTAAACACTTGACACAGAGTGAATGTTCATGATGGCACCTACTTAGCTCTTCCCTGGTCACCTCAGACAGTACCTGAAGCTACACAGACATCTATCCCTACTAGGCTGCTGTTCTTCCCTTGTAGGAAGGGGGCTTAATTCCTTTTTTTCCCTTTTTATTAAATTTATTGGGGTGACTTAGGTTAATATGATCATACTAGAGGCCCGGTGCATGAAATTTGTGCAAGGGGGGGGGGGCCTAAACTGGCAATTGGACTTCCCTCTCGCAATCTGGGACTGCTGGCTCCTAACCGCTCACCTGCCTGCCTGCCTAATCACCCTTAACCCCTCTCTGCCTGCCAGCCTGATTGCCCCTAACTTTCTCCCCTGCTGGCCTGATCACCCCTATCTTGCCCCCCTGCCGGCCTAATTGATCCTAACTTGCTCCCCTGCCAGCCTGATCACTCCTACCTTGCCCCCCTGCAGGCCTGATCACCCCTAACTGCCTCTGCCTCCCTCTGCAGGAAGCAACCTGGCAGATTAGGGGAAGGTGCCACCCCCATTACCCTGCTGCTGCTGCCATTGCCAGCCTGAGCCTGGGCCCTTCGCAGCTGCCCATGGCTGCCTGAGCCTCGGCTCTCACAGCCACTGCATCTTTGTCCAAAGGATGTCTGGAAGGTTGTCTGGAAGACATCCGCCCTAATTAGCATATTTCCCTTTTATTGGTATAGATAGTTTTCAGGTGTAGATTTCTATATTACAAGATCTGTATATTGCACAGTCAAATGTTCTCCCATCACCATATACTAGTATTATAACAATTCTTTTATGATGATGGTTTAAGTTTCACCATTCATACCCTTCCTCCATGAAATACAGGCAACCTAATGACTGGGAAACATTTAAAACAGCTTGTAAACAAGGCCTTGGTCATTATTATCATAACCACCATAATGGAGATAGGAATGGTCTGCAAAATAAGCTTTAAAAGCAGCTTGCCACAGCTCTGATCCTAGCTATGAAGAAATTAAATAACTATGTATACGATGCACAGAATGTATGACTTGTCTGACTTCCAGGGCAGTAGGTATCATACAACTGTTATAAATTATGATAAGCAATTTAATTACTTTACCATGCAAAGATTTTCTCAGTAGAAGCAAGAGATTTAAAGTTCGAGAACATTTGAAGCATCTATGTGTTTACCTTACTTATTGCAAATCCAAAGACCTCTTCAAAATAAGCAGGCTGACTTATTAACAGCAAATAAAAGGTCCAGCTTCTGCAAAAATTTGCCACAATGATTGCATACACCGGCAATGATGTGAAAAATTTTTTCCATGGTGTATTAAATTTCTAGAGAGTAAAAATACCATGAGATTTTTATATTTAGGGAAATATATTGACATGTCACTTTTCTTCTTTTATTTATCAATTACAGCTGATATTCAATATTATATTATATTGGTTTCATGGATACAGCATAAGAGTTAGACATTTATATAATTTGCAAAGTGCTCCCCTAATAAGTCTAGTACCCAACCAGCACCATACCTAATTATTACAATATTATTGACTATATTTTCTATGCTGTATTTTACATCCCCATGACTATTTTGTAACTACCAATTTGTACTTTTTAATCCCTTCATCTTTTCCATCCAGTCCCTCAAACCCCCACCCCCCACCACCGAGAAACCATCAGTTGATATGTTATTTTTCTTAAAAGGACAACACAATCACTAAGAGAAATACTCATAGAGAAGAGAGAGGCAAGTCTTCATCTATCCATCGAGACTTACACTTAGGCTAACCACGTTGGCTCCTTCTCCAATACTTGTCTCTATGTAGGTTCTCTCCTCCTGGGATATTGTTGGGTGAGCTGCCGGGCACTCATAGGCCTGCAACAGCCAAAACATGTACCAAATAATGCCAAACATACCTAAAACAAAAGGTTAAAACAGTTAAAAAAAACCAAAGGTTTGATGATATGGTCTCATTCTCTTCCATCTCTAAATTTTCCCATTTTCAAAATATTCCCAAACAGTATTATGTTCAGCTAGGAGTAAGTATTTTGTTGTTATTCACTAGTATTTGAAGAAAGAAACTCAGATTTACTATAAATGTTAAATGAATCCTAGGTAGTCAAGTATTCCTTGATATCATATCGTAAACTCTCAGTCTATCCCATTACACATCTCTATGAGTCACCCATAGGAACTCATGAAGTCAAGTCACTCACCATAAATATAAAAGACGGAGGCCCAGCCAATGTACTGTACCAACACCCCCGCCAGGGGCATGGCGATCACTGCCCCCGCATAGGAACCTAGAACAAGAAAAGGTGGAAGGATACTTAGCGATCTCATGCAAGCCCTCTCAACCCTTTTGGAGTTCATGTGGTTGGGTTGAGGATGAACCAAACTGAGCAGGAGTCAGAAGGCCTCTGTGCAGAGGGACAGGCAACTCCCAGTGTGCCTTAGCCCAGGGCTTCCAGGAGAGAAAGGCCACAAGGATGCCCTTGAACTTCACCCAGGTACCATGGAGAAATTAGATAAAGAATGCTCAAGCACAGCAATGTGAAACTGATGACAGGATGGAATAAAAAGATGAGAAAAAAATCTGAGGGAACTTAAGAAAAATTCAACCAGGCGTAATATTGGGTGCTGAAGAAAGCAAGCGAAGAAACATGGATCTGCCTTCCAGAGCTCACAGTTGAGAAAGATTATCAACTAGGTCTTTAAATAAGGGACCGCAAACTACTCAAGGATCATGATTTTTTAGAGTCTTAATTTTTTTAAAAAATCAGGAAACAGTTTAATGGCAGGATGAGCAGCATGGATGCTGTCTCCACCCACCTCCTGGATGAGTCAATTTTTAGGTTTATTTCTTACTCTGTAAATCCTTCACCTGGTAAATACTTACCTGTGTGTGGATGTTTATCTTGTCTAGACAAGATAATGAGGGCAGAGGCAGTGCCCTGGCTTCCGCTATCTCCTGCAGCTCCCTAACATCTGCTGGAGAAACATGAGCCCTGCAAACTCCCAATAAATATTAACTGAATAAAAGAAATAGCTATCTGAAATTCCCTCTGGGTCGTGAATGAAAAAATATCTTGCTTCAGAAGAAGTGAGCAGCGAAAGGCAATTCTGTATCCCAGAGGGCAATGCTGAGGAAGACCTCAGGCGATGGGGGTTTAGGAGGAGGAGGTGAAATCCCATCTTTCCAAGCTGGGCCAGGCTGGTTGTGAAAGGCCCAACCCCGAATCCCAGATCTGGACATCATGGCACTGAGGAGGTCTCTCCATCCCTCTGAGCCATTTTCCTCAGACAGAAGATGGGCGAAATCTCTACATCACGCAGCTGACTTGGGGAGAAAATGAACCATGTGCATGGAGATGCTTGGTAAGTCGTAGTGCTGCATTAACACCAAGTAAAACTGCTCTGTCGTGTACAGCATGACAGCACACTTTTTTCTTTTGCCTCGGACTTCCTCAAAGCAATAAGGGAAGCATCCCTGGGCATCCCAGAAAGAGCTGCACGTGACTCCGCTGTGTGTGTGGAAAAGGCCCAATACCCTGGGAGTACGGGTGGAGGCTCCTATGTAGCTGATGCAGAGAAATGCCCGGACAGGGAGGGTCAGGGGATGACCAGCAACTAAGATGCATTGGGTGCTGTCTGTGTGCCCAGCGAGATGCTCAGTATTCTGAACCCGTGATTTTATTTAACCCTCTTTTCAACCCGACAAAGGTGGAACCAATATCGCCCCCATTTTACAAGAAGGAAACTAAGGCTGGAGGAGGGAGGGAGGTTGCGTGAGGTTGCACAGGTGTCAGTGACAGCAACCCAGGTCTGTCGGAATCCAAAGCCTTTACCCTGAGTTACTTAATAATTCAGGCCTGCCTCCCCCACTCAGAAATGCCCTGTAATTCCTCATCGTAAGAAGCATTATTTCATCCAGGGAATTTTATAACTTGAAGCTGTTTTTCTTCCCTGTCTACTAAACAAACTCTCCCTCATCCTTCCGGACATGGCTGCATGTAAGCTCCTATCACACTGACCCACAGCCCCTAGCACACCCCAATAGGCACTTTACCCTTATTGCAGGGGAGCTGGCTATGCCTCGACCCATCGGTGCGCTCACCACAGAGGACAGAGCAGCCCTCGAATGCTTGCTGAATGGCGTGGAGAGTGGGGAATGGCTGCCTTGGGTGTGGGAGGGTCCCCAGTTCTGTCCTCACTAGTTGTAAAAATTTATATTTTTTTCCTTCCTCACCCTTTGTTTCCTCTCTAACAATGGCTGCAATTAGATGTTTTCTAAAGTCCCTTCTAACTCCAATATTTTTTAAGTATAAGCACCTTTTAGACCCCAAGCCTGGGTCTCCTTCTAATGGCATTTTGCCTTGGCCGTTCTTCGAAACCAGGGCCACACCTTAGCTGGAAAGGTAGTAAAGCCTGTGACTTTGATCACCTACCTTCCTGTGAGAGTCAAACCTCTTCTGATAGACACCAAGCATGAGGAGTGGCACTAGTCATACCTGTTTTGCTGGCAAATCAAAATGCAAAGCCTCATAAGTAAACCATCCAAGGAAAATTAGGTCCAGGACCTGACAATTCACAAGATTGGCTGGGGCAGTATATTCTACTAGAGTTAGTATAAGGTCAGCAGTGTGGGTAGAAATGATCTTGGATGGCAAACAAGAGGACAGAAGTGGTTTCTGAAGACAAGAGAAGCTAAAGATGACAGGACATCTCAGTGGTGCCTGCAGTTCCAAACTGGGCACAAAATGGGCCCATTGGTGAGTATGTCACACTGACTGCCAGGGATGATGATGATGATTGAAGGAGGTAAAGAGGAAGAACGAGGGAGAAATACAAATATTCACAGAAATAAAGAGGAAGCTTTATTTCTCCTTTAGCATAAGCACAGGTCAGCTTCTCTTAGGAAAGGCACGTTAGCTTGAAAAATTCTGATCCTAATTCTGCCCAGGCCCCATTGTGACTTTTGCCGCCTAAGGCATTTTTGTTTTCCTAGGCCCTCCCCTGCTAAATATGTATATATATATATATATATATATATATATATATATATATATATATATATTATATATTTCACAACTGTATTGATTGATACCTAAAAGGAACTTATGATCCTAACACACTTACCACAAAAAGAGGTCGTGGCCAGTCGGCTTCTCTCCAAAGGTGGCGCCCACTTACTCCACATCCCGTGGCAGGCTGGGTAGGTCACACCCTGCCAAAATGGTTGAAAATAGTTTATTTGATTTGACTCCAGTTTCTGTTTGTCTTTAAAATATGGATCCTGATTCTTTAATAATGGCTACAATATAAAAGCCCAATTCATAGACACCAAATAGCATGTGTCAGCTATCTGACTGACAGCACAGATCTGAATACCAATTCAAAGGTAAGCATGGTGGAGAATGGGGGAGGAGGTCTTTATATTTCATATTATACAAAATATCACTATAAAAAGGGACTTGACAGAAAGAAAGAAAGAAAGAAAGAAAGAAAGAAAGAAAGAAAGAAAGAAAGAAAGAAAGAAAAGAGAGGAAGGAAGGAAGGAAGGAAGGAAGGAAGGAAGGAAGGAAGGAAGGAAGGAAGGAAGGAAGGAAGGAAGAAAGGAACTTCTGAGCCCTGGACAGGTAGCTCAGTTGGTTAGAGCATCGTCCCCAATATGCCAAGATTGCAGATTTGATCCCCATCAGGGCACATACAAGAAAGAGATAACGAATGTATAAATAAGTGGAACAACAAATCAATGTCTCTCTCTATCTCTCAAATCAATTTTTTTTAAAAAGTCTCCTTAAAAAAAAACAACTACTTTTCCATGGCTTTAACTACCACCTATGATGTTTGATTACTCTCAAATCTTTAAAAAAAAAGAAAGAAAAGAGAAAGAAAGAAAGAAAGAAAGAAAGAAAGAAAGAAAGAAAGAAGAAAAGGACTTCCGTAATCACCTGGTACATCCTCTCATTTCAAGATACCGAATCTGAGGCTCAGAACCATTAAGTAAATAGACTGTAGTCTTCATGGCTGTAATATTATGTTCTTCCCATCAAACCAGTATTTTTGGAAATGTGGTATATATCCTTCTAGTAAGACTAGAGTTAGGACTAGTGGAGCTAGTGCTACAACAACCTACATTTTTTAATATAATTGTGGCATATGTATATTCTAATACGCCTCAGAAAATAAGTAACTAGCACTTCATACTCCTGATTTCAAAGAATTGTTATGTACTGTCCAACCTATGAGGGAAGGTGGGGGGGGGGGGGTAAGTGATCAACCAAAGGACTTCTATGCATGCATATGAGCATAACCAATGGACACAGAGCGGGTAGGGATGTGCTGGGGGAGGTGGCTGGGGAGAGGTCAATGGGGGAAAAAGGAGACTTATGTAATACATTAAACAATAAAGAATTTAAATTTTTTTTAAAAGAGAATTGTTATGATGAGGTCCTTTGTTTTTATGTTTTTTGGAACATTTGTTAACATTGGCTCCAGCTACCTTTGCACTATAATGGCAGAATTGAGGAGTTGGCCAAGTCTTCTGGCTATATCATGCTACTTCCTTCATCAAGTTAAATCTCTTTGTAAGATACACTCTTAAAACTTTACAGATTTATTAATAAATCCACTTAAATTGCATCAGTGGGAAGAGCCCTTGCTATATTTAGGGTTGGATCAGGTTATCTCCAGGATCATTCCTTACTCATCTAAAATTCCACACTCTAGGAAATGGTTGTTTATTGTGTTTAAATGAAAGTGTTCATAATGGTAGTCATAATCAGTGAGTTGAGACAGCAAAACAAGGTGGAAGACAGGAAAACTGAGTAGAGGGAGTTTCCTTCAGAAGCTGATTTTCCTAAAGGACCATGTTGTCTCCAGCAAAACATTGAAAACTGTGAGGGGAAGAATCTCCTACCTCCACTAGACCTTGCAAAATCCTGACACACATGACGCAGCCGTAATGCACTCTGGCTGCAGAAGGAATGAACATGTTCAAGGTGGACGTTAGGAAGATGGCGGCTCCAAAGACCCTGAGGGACCAAAACACTGTTACTGGGCAGGCCTGCGCATGGATGTGGCACTTTAGTTAAACATCAGAAACGAAAAATCAGTTCATGGAGGACCACTATGGGAATTAACAGAAGGAAAAATAGATGTGTTACAGTCTAGTGTGTCCCAAACTAGACTGCTGGGCTGCCAGAAGCCAATTCCAGCATGACAGCAGGGTTGAATCTGGGAATGGCTGATGGCATTTCCCCAAACCTGAATAGGATACATTACATTGGTTGTTGGCTGCCAAGACAGCACAGGGCATCTTAATCTACATGTTATTGCCTCCTACTGGCCAAACACCTGAACAGCCGTAGGCTAATTCTTCCATTCTGACAATGGACTCTGTTCGAAACCCTGACCCTTTGAAGTGTATATCTCTGCCTCACCTGAGGACAATTTATGTTAATAAAAAGCATGGGATCCTGAGACGAGGAGATCTTAGATCAGTGATGGCGAACCTTTTGAGCTCGGCATGTCAGCACTTTGAAAAACCCTAACTTAACTCTGGTGCCGTGTCACATATAGAAATTTTTTGATATTTGCAACCATAGTAAAACAAAGATGTATATTTTTGATATTTATTTTATATATTTAAATGCCATTTAACAAAGAAAAATCAACCAAAAAAATGAGTGTCACCTCTGACACACGCATCATAGGTTCACCATCACTGTCTTAGATCTTAGTTTCCTTTAAACTAGGCTCCTCTGACCCCCAACTGCCTTTCAAAATTATGCTTCGCCTCTGGACTCCTATTTAATCTACGCACAGCTTTCTCCAGATTGCCGAACCCTTCTAGATGCTGGAACAAGAACCCTGGCACTGGGCCGCTTTGATTCCCAAGCTCCAATCCCCGGACCAATCAGGGGCATGTGTTTAGCAACACAAGGATGTCCTGCCTGGATAAGGTCCTGATGCTGGAGACTGACCCGCATGTGGTGGGCTTGCTGGAGACCCACCACTCTGCTTGGTTCCACACAGCGGACCCATTCTGACCAATAGCTGGTGACTTGTGCACATTTGGATGGTGTCTCCTGCTGCACAATTCTGCTCTCACGTTACCAGGAGGGGATACAGACGATCTGAGAAGCATGCCCTGACCTGGGACCAGCCAAGCACAAGACCGGCTGTGTACCTGTCTCAGCCCCCGACTCTGCCCTGTGCCACTTGCCTTCTCCTCCCTGCCTTGACCAGCGTGGAAGAAAGCAGACAGCAGTTTCTTCCTTTCTCACACCTGTTAATGATGCTGCAGCCCGTTTTACAGGCTGGGAAATTATGTATGGTTTATTTTTAGGGCAGAAATATGAGCAGTAACCCCAGGGATCATAGGAGCCAATATTTTATCACTTTTTAAAAAGAATATAATAGGTAAGTGACAATAAAAAGGGACACAAATTAGATAAGAACATAAGTAAATACAGTCTTGCTTATATATATTTAGAGTCTATGGTAGTGACTTTCAAACTTGTTTTTATCTTGACCCATAAAACAAAATATATTTTATACTGCAACCTAATACATATTCATACACACCAATGTAGCCAAAACAAGTTTTAAAAACCAAAACTTAAATGTGCGATGAGCTAAGATATTTTATGCTACTTTCTTCTACTTAATTATCCTCTCTCTCTCTCTCTCTCTCAAATGCTCATTGGTAAATTATTATATTGATTTTATTACCATCTAAAGCAGTGGTTCTCAACCTTGGCTGCACATTAGAATCACCTGGGAATCTTTTTAAAATCCTGATTTCTGGGCCTCATCCTCCGGAAATTCTGTTTCTTTGTTATGGGGTGGGGCCACAACATTAGTAACAAAGAAACAGAATTTCCGGAGGATGAGGCCCAGAAATCAGGATTTTAAAAAGATTCCCAGGTGATTCTAATGTGCAGCCAAGGTTGAGAACCACTGATCTAAAGAGTTGTGTTTTAGAATTTGAAATGCACTGCTTTATAAAATGCATATTTCACAAAATCCATGTACGTGAAGTCACACAGGACACACAATTGGAAGGGCCTGGGGCATTCAGTACGCTCCTTTCTGGTACATATACACCCTCCCTCGCCTCCCAGTGGCCATCCTCTTCTGCTGGAATCCCTCCAGTACAGAACTCACTGCTTCTCGTGGCACTGCATTCTGGCTTGGCTACTTTTAGTTGTTCAAACACCTGCTATTGAATATCAAGGGCATTAAAGACATCTTACAATCTAGAGCAGCCGTGGGCAAACTACGCCCGCGGGCCGGATCTGGCCCGTTTGAAATGAATAAAACTAAAAAAAAAAAAAAAGACCGTACCCTTTTATGTAATGATGTTTACTTTGAATTTATATTAGTTCACACAAACACTCCATCCATGCTTTTGTTCCGGCCCTCCGGTCCAGTTTAAGAACCCATTGTGGCCCGCGAGTCAAAAAGTTTGCCCACCCCTGATCTAGAGGCTAGTAGTCCCTACTCACATGACAAAACCTGTAGGGTACATGACGATATTTACACAGGATCACAGAATGTCATGGGTCAAAGGGAACCCAAACACAATCTAACCCATGCTCCATTTCACAGGTGTGGAAACAGGCCCAGAGAAGGAGGGAAGGTGACTCAGTAGAGGGCACCAAGTGAGTGACTCAGAGTCAATTCTTTTTACTACATAATCACTTGAAGTATTGCAAGATAAATGAGATTCAATAAAAAGAGATTCTGAAGAACGGGATCATATGGGATTGATATCTGTGAGTCACCTCTGTTGGAATGGCTCCTGTCTTTCACTCTGTACCCCCACATTGAGAGCCAGCTCTGCAGACTTGGTAGAAGTGCAATGCCTGTTATGATCTGTGCAGCACTCATGTCATATCGGTTTATCTTACCTGTTAGCAGCAAACTTGTTTGAAATGAAACCACCTGGAATTTGGGTCACAATATAACCCCAGAAAAAAGAGCCATGGATAAAGCCCACCGTCTCTGGATCCCAGTTAAACTGTGCTACCTGAAAATGAGAAATCGGATACAGTTAGGTTTGGAAGAAAACACTTGCCCGCCATTTTTCACTGAGGATCCTACATAATAACCCCACGAGTTCCTTCTTTATTTTGCTTATTCAATAATTATTTATGGAGGGCCCTTGTGTGCTTAGGATATAGCAGTGATCACACAAAAAAGTAGCTACTCTCAGGGAGTTCAGCTTGTAGTGAGAGACCGTATGAATTTATACATATGTATATATGATATATATGTAGATACATATATATACCATATATATTATATATACCAAATATATATACCATCATATATTATTATATATATGCATATATACCATTTATCTGAGCCCCCTTAGAATCATAATAACCCCCAGTATGAACCATTAGCATAAACCAAGCACTGTGTCAGGCACTGTGTTAGGCTGTAAACATGGTCCCCAAGAGGCAGACACACAAAATCCCTGGGACCTATGAATGCTGTCTTATTGGGAAAAGGGTTTTGCTGGCGTGATAAAGTCAAGGATCTGGAGATGAGTTTTCCTGGATTATCCAGCTGGGCCCTAAATCCTGTGACAAGCATCCTTATAAGAGAAAGGAGACCTGCCGAAACCGGTTTGGCTCAGTGAATAGAGCGTCGGCCTGCGGACTGAAAGGTCCCAGGTTTGATTCCGGTCAAGGGCATGTACCTGGGTTGCGGGCATATCCCCAGTAGGGGATGTGCAGGAGGCAGCTGATCGATGTTTCTCTCTCATCGATGTTTCTAACTCTCTGTCTCTCTCCCTTCCTCTCTGTAAAAAATCAATAAAATATATTTAAAAAAAAAAAAAAAAGAGAAAGGAGACCTGAGACAGGTAGGAAAAGGCCATATGAAGAAAGGCAGAGACCAGAGCGATGCTGCCCGGAGCCAAGGAATGCCTGGAGCCACCAGAAGCTGGGAAAGGCAGGGAAGGGTCCTCCCCTAGAGCCCTCGGAGGGAGCACCGCCCTGCAGGCACCTTGATTTTGGACTTCTGGTCTCCACAACTGTGAGAGAAACAATTTCCCTTGTTTTAAGCCACCCTGTTTGTGGTCATTTATTCTGGCAGTCTTAGGAAACGAATATAGGTACTTAATATATTAGTACCAAATTTGATCTACAAAGTAGGTTTTTTTATCCCCATTTCATAATAAGGGAAATGAAAGTTACCAAATAATTCTATCTTCCTGCTCACATTTTTATTTTTTCAATTACAGTTTACATTCAATATTATTTTGTATTAATTTCAGTTGTACAGAATAGTGGCTAGACAATCATATACTTTACAAAATGCCCCCCTCCCCTCAATATTTCCAGCTGGCGCCAGACAAATACATTATTATTGACTATATTCCCTAAGTCATACTTTACGTCCCCATGACTATTCTGTATCTACCAATTCCTTCCAAGAGGATTCTCCCCTCCTCTCAGCACCCTGTGCCTCTCCCCTGCTGAGGACATCTGAATAGAGACAGGTAAGGCTGGACTCAGCCAGAGAGCCTCTGTTTCTCTCTGTGATTTTTTTTCCTCCCTATCTATCATCTATCTATCTATCTATCATCTATCTATCTCTATCTATCTAATCTCTACCTCTATCTCCCTCCCTCTCCCTCTCCCTCTCCAATCTGAACCCAGAGATTCTAGTTAAATAGCACTGAACTGAAACAAGTCCCACTGGAGTCAGGGACAGTTAAGTCACCTCCGTGGCAAGGCAAAGGCTCAGGAATTCAGCTTTGGAGGGCGGTGAGAAACCATAGAAAAGGCAAGAAAACAGTCCATGGAGAGACCCCGAGGATGGAGCAGATTCAGAGAGAAGCAGAGGAGAGACCATGAGGAGGGAGCACGCTGGAGCCTTAGCTACGGGGTTGCTGGCTCCCAGGAGGGCCAGCTCCGCTCTGCTTCCTGGCGGGGCCTCTGTTCACGCCTTGGAAACAATCACATAAAGACTCCTTTCCTCCTCACAGTGGAGAACAGCCTGGATTTCAGTCCCCCCGCAGGGTGACCCCCTGTCCAGGGCACAGACCCGACAAACTTACACAGCAGCTCTGCTCTCTGCCCTCCACTTTCATGAGATCCCTGATAGCCTCTCATAATTCCCTTTTTGACTCGAACCGGTTTCACTGAATTTCTATTCTTTTGTAACCAGCAAACCCTTACCAGGACACAAGGGCAACTTGCTCAAGGCCTCGGAGCTAATAAACAAGAGTCAAGTTTGAAACCTGGTCTGGCCAGTTCCAAAGTCCAGCCTCTAAACCAGCGGTTCTCAACCTGTGGGCCGCGACCCCTTTGGCGGTCGAACGACCCTTTCACAGGGGTCGCCTAAGACCATCCTGCATATCAGATATTTACATTATGATTCATAACAGTAGCAACATTACAGTTATGAAGTAGCAACGAAAATAATTTTATGGTTGGGGTCACAACATGAGGAACTGTATTTAAAGGGCCAGAAGGTTGAGAACCATTGCTCTAAACCTTACAGAGCTCATGATTCATGGGAAGGCATCTAGACTTTTCCTGAGGGTAATGAGAAATAATCGTCATTTCTCAAGCTTCCGCCATTTATTGCCTACCATATACTAGATTCACACACTTTAAAACTCATAATTTTGGAACTGCGAATGATTATTCACACATCAGCTAAAATGACCTTTTATACCAGCAGTGGAATATATACCACGTATTTGCAAGACCTATCTGTTCATACTGCTTAAGTCTCTCACGTTTTTGAAAATGAGGATTTAAAGTGATCTCTGTGCAAAATATCTAGATTTCCCCCCCTAAAAGGAAAAATCAAACAAACAAAATTACCAGCCATCCATGGCCTTTATTAATACAATTAGTGGAGTGGCTTTGGCATCAGGTTGAACAATGAGCTGATATCTAAGTTCTGTTCTGTTTGGATAAGAGAAAAACGGCCTACTACAGATGAGAGTTGGTTAGAGCTTCGAAATGCCACTCAACTTCTACTTTCGCAGCCAGTGAAATGACGTCAAGTATATTTTAGATCTTAATCAGTTTCTCTAAGACTCTAGAGCAGTGGTTCTCAACCTTCCTAATGCCGTGAACCTTTTAATATAGTTCCTCATGTTGTGGTCACCCCCAACCATAAAATTATTTTCGTTGCTACTTCATAACTGTAATTTTGCTACTGTTATGAATCATAATGTAAATATCTGACATGCAGGATGTATTTTAATTGTTACAGATTGAACATAATCGCCCTAACCGGTTTGGCTCAGTGGATAGAGCCTCGGCCTGCGGACTGAAGGGTCCCAGGTTCGATTCCGGTCAAGGGCATGTACCTTGGTTGCAGGCACATCCCCAGTGGGGAGTGTGCAGGAGGCAGCTGATCGATGTTTCTCTCTCATCGACGTTTCTAACTCTCTATCCCTCTCCTTTCCTCTCTTGTAAAAAAATCAATAAAATATATTTTTTAAAAATTGAACATAATTAAAGCATAGTGATTAATCACAAAAACAATATGTAATTATATGTGTTTTCCAATGGTCTTAGGCGACCCCTGTGAAAGGGTCGTTTGACCCCCAAAGGGGTCGCGACCCACAGGTTGAGAACCGCTGCTCTGGAGGGCAAAACCATAGAAACTACAGAGCACACACCAGCACTGGACACCAGCACTGGTCCTCGGGTTTATCAAAATGCCTTTTCCACGTGCCTCACAGCGGGCTCTGCTGACCTAGGCATATCGTCTCAGGCAGCAAAGGGACACCAGCCTCGCATTGTGATCTGGGCCTCAGCACACAGGGTTTAATTAGCTGGCCTTGCTCACAAAAGGCTGGGAGAATGCATGCAATACACATCTGAAAGCTCACCAATGTTCATTACTCTTTATTTTAAAGATGTATGACATGCTCTCTACACCTCGACTGCCCGCCTCCACCCCCCAGTGAAAATAAACAAGGATATCCTTTAGAACAGGTTCAGCTGTGACATCAAAGGGGCGAGTTAGAAGAATCTCCGTGGAGCTCTTTTCTTCTAGCAGAATAATCTCTTAGAAAAGGACTTGCGACGGCATGAATGGACCTGGAGAGCATTATGCTAAGTGGAATGAGCCAGTCAGAGAAAGACAAGTACCATGTGATTTCTCATATATGTGGACTCTAATGAACAAAATAAACAAACAAAATAGAAACAGACTCATGATACAGAGAACAGACAGCTGTCAGAGGGGAGTGGGGTTGGGGTGAAAAGGTGAGACGATTAAACCAACAAACATGAAAACTCACAGACACAGACAGTACGATGATTACCAGGGGGAAAGGGGGTGGGGGAGCTATGAGAGGGTAAATGGGGGATAAATGGTGACAGAAGGACAATTCACATTGGGTGGTGAACACACAACATAATACATCAAAGTCATCCCAATAAATTCAATTAAAATTCAAAAAAGAAGCCTGCAGACCAACTAAAGACTTCTTTTTAATGGATTGAAGTCAACTTTTCCCAAATCAGTGCTTGGCAGGAACTGGTCGGGTAATGCTAATAGATGCAGCACGAAGGAGGGCGTTCTGCAATCGTGTCTGGGAAATACCGCATTCCACGGCCCCCTTGGGAGCTCCTCATAGAACACAGCACAGTGAAGGATCTCATGTCACACAGCAGCACCTTCTTCGCAGCACAGCCTACAGAGCACTGACTGGCCAGACACCAGTGTGGGAAACTCTGGTCTGAATGTGTTGCCAACTGTGGGCGGGGACCCGACCAGACAACTATTGGATGGCTCTCCACGAATGGACGGATTTCCACCAGTCATTCCAATGCTTGGGCTCAATACAAGGGAACGTGTATTTATTGGGTATCTGTTGGGCATACATTTTCATCTTTTTTCAATGATTCTTTAGGCCTCCCATTTAAGATATTAACCAATGAACTTATATGCATATATGCATAACCCATGGACATAGACAATACTGTGGTGAAGGCCTTGGGGGGTGGGCAGGTGGAGGGAGTCAATGGGGAAAAGGGGGAGACATCTGAAATACTTTCAGCAATGAAGATAAAATAAAATAAAAATAAACAAAGGAGATTTTTGACTTTCCAGTGATTCATAAAAACAATACAGTGGGGCCTTGACTTACGAGTTTAATTCGTTCCGTGATGGAGCTCGTAACTCAAATTACTCGTATGTCAAACCTTAAAGTGAATGAGTGAGACACGTGATGCTGGGCTGATGTTGTGGCATTCACTGTGACGTTCGCTGCGCCAACTAGCGGTGGGGTATCTGAAGCTGGCTCGTAACCCGAATTTTAGCTCACAACTCAAAGCAAAAAATCGGCTGAGAGACGGCTCGTAGCTCGAAAAACTCTTTAGTTGGGACACTCGTAAGTCAAGGCCCCACTGTACTATTTAAGTCACATCAGAGTATGCTCGCTTGTGACTACAACAGCCTGGACCTGGGCCTCCTGCTTCCACTCACGTCAAATCCAACCCACCCTGACCACTGGCTACACAGTGGTCGTTCTGGAGCACGGATCTGACAGTATTGCCTCTCCTTAAAGCCCATCTGTGACTTCCTACCCGGTTTACCAGGCTTGACATGACCTGACCCCTTTCCCTTGCTGCCTCCATCTCCTGATGCTCACCCCCAATCTACTCTCCTATGTAGTTCTCACCCTGGAATCTGTGAATGGGGATCTGTTAACTGGATGGGGAAGAAATCGGCATCTTTATTTCTACTAACTGCTAACTGAAATTTGGCATTTTCTGCAATTATGAATGTGGGCAACAAACGACAGTTGTATTCTCAGTACCTATGACGCTGTTACTAGTGGGAATTATCAATACGTTCACATCTGCATGGCAATTGTTGCCACTATCTCAAACTACTGTTTATAGTTCAAATTCAAAAGTACACTGATTTTTAGACCCATTGCTAGGTTTTGTCATCTGATGTGTTCATAAAGAAGCTCATAGGTTTCTGTATTGCAAATTTTATTTTCAAAGATTTTGATATCTGTATTTTAACATTCGTTTCCTTTGTAATCTCATATATTTAGTTTTAAGAATTTAAAACATTATTTTTGACAAACGGTTCATAAGGCTCATAAGTCTTCACCAGGCTGCCAAGCATGACACAGAAAAGATGAACTCCTGTCTCAGTTCTAAACTTGTCATTCTCTCTCTCTCTCTCTCTCTCTCTCTCTCTCTCTCTCTCTCTCTCTCTCTCCCCCCCCCCCTTCCACCTACAGACTTGGACATATGATGTTCCTTTTCTTCAAAGATTCTTCTTTCTCCCCCACCAAAACCCTCTGTCAAATGCTTCCTCATCCTTCAGCTCCAGCCATCACTTTCTCTGGGAATTCATTCACAATATCAAAGTCTGTACTAGGTCCCCTCCCCTGTATGATCCCGACCCTTCTGAACACTCCAACATAGCGCCTAGATCCCCGAATTGTAATCGCTTGTTTGTCTGTCTCTGTGAGAACCAGGGCCCAGCCTGCGTTGTTCAGCATCTGATCACCTTGCATGGTGCCCGGCACATGGTAGCCACTCTACACTTTTGTCACATCAATGAACGAGATGCAGTGCTTCTTTCACGTAGCAAAATATTTGCACAGCTTTGGCCAAAAGAGCTCCCACCATAGAGTGACCCTGACCTGAATTTCCGGTTTTCCATCAACGTAGATGGTGCTGTTGTTGACCATTTCCACGATGGCAACTCCGAGGTTGCACCGAATCCCGAAGGAAATGCAGAATCCCAGCCCGCTCATGATGGCAATGATGTACCGCTTGGGGACACCACAGCACTGGCAGTCGCAGAGCGGGGGGCTCTGCCTGGATGTCTGCACTGGCCTGCCTTCCTCATCCAGCTCGATGTCATTTGCTTCCTCGTTGGTCCCATCGATTTTTCTACAGTGGAAAAGGCATGGGCAGAGAAGAAAGGTCAGGAATAGAGAAAAACAAAATGTACTATTCACAAAGAAAAAAGTGTCCCAAGAAAGGAGAAGGGAAACACAAAGTAGGGTGCAGCCTGCATTTTTTAATGTTATTACTGTTACCATCATCATTATTCTTACTAAAATACATTGTAAAGGCTAAAATGACCGATATTCTGGATCCTGTGTTGCCCGTTGATAGGCATTCGGTCATTGCAATCTCATCACAACCCCATGAAGTAGGTAGTGTTATCTTGCCATTTTATAGATGAGGAAACTAGGTCATCTGAAATGGGATGCGGACCCAAGACCAGAGACTGTGTCTCCAACAATGTGCTTCACTGGATTTCCCAAACTGAGGGCCTGTCTACAAAATCCCCAGTCAGTGTTCCTCAAAACCGTCCAAGTCATGAAAAGCAGGAATAGGCTGAGACACAGTCACAGATCAGAGGAGACCATGGGGACAAGACGATTAAGTGCAATGTGGTATCTGGATTGGATCCTGGAACAGGAAAATTGACATCAGTGGAAAGAGTAATGAAACTTTAATAAAGTGTGGAGTGTAATTAGTAATTCATTCATGTTGGTGCCTTAGTTTTGACAAATGTGCCATAGTAATGGAAGCTGTGAACATTATGGAAACCAAGTCAGGAGTATATAGAACATCTCTGTACTATCTCTACAAAGTTTCTGTGAGTCTAAAATTATTCCAGAACAAAAGCTTCCTTTTTAAAAAACAAAACAGCAGAACTCCAGAGAAGGTGGAATTCTGAGTTTAGGTAGGTCTCTTACACCAAAGCTGAGATCCTGATAAGAAATGGTATCCTGAGAACCTGGATGAAAGGGTATCTGAGACTTGGGTTAGGGGATAGATGCACTTGAACATCCAATACCATAAATTCCTCGGAACCCTCTGGACCTGCACAGGTGGCCACTTCTGCTCGGAAAGTATTGGTTCCACCTCTTTAAAGGGAAAGTATAAGTACTTACAAGGAGAGCAGAATCCCCCGCAGTCTCCCTTGGGGAAAGTCTTCAGTACTACAACGGATCAGGAGAAAAGCCCACACTTGCCTGAAGATCCAGAGGTTGCTGGCTAGATTGTGGCCCAAATAACCCCCTAAACCTAAATAAGTGGTTAAATTTCAAGACAGCAAGTGGGAAGAGCAAAGATAGTTCGTTAGAGAGGTAGCATAGTGTCATGACTGACGATGGTGGGCAGAGAACGTCTGGTCTGAAAGCCGCCTCTGCCACATATAAGCTGTGTGACCTTGGGCAACTTACTTAACCTCTCTGTTCCTCAGCTTCCTCATCTGTAAAACTGTGATTGTAATCAGCCCTACCTCAGAGCACTGTTAAAACTAAATAAGTTCAGGCCATGGCTGGTTTGGCTCAGTGGATAGAGCGTCAGCCTGTGGACTGAAGGGTCCCAGGTTTGATTCTGGTCAAGGCCATGGACCTTGGTTGCGGGCACATACCCAGTAGGGGGTGTGCAGGAGGCAGCTGATTGATGATTCTCTCTCATTGATGTTTCTAACTCTCTATCCCTCTCCCTTCCTCTCTGTAAAAAAAAATCAATAAAATATGTTTTTTTAAAAAACTGAATAAGTTCATAGTAGTTGGGCCATCGTGTTTGCTATTATCATTTATTACACATAAATAGAGGACACCCATATTGTCATTTAAGTTGGACAAATCTGTCTATCAATTTCTGGACATTCATTTCCCAAGTTGATGCCTTCTATGCCATGTGTTCCAATACTGGACAATAAGTGAGTGCATCATCTTTCTTCCCACACTTCTAAAATATTATTGTCCCGTTAGCTGGTAAAGTTGGTCAGCTGCTTCTCATCAATGACTGCTCTCAAGGAAGCCCACCAGTGCCTGACTGTATCAGCCTCACGTGGGAACTTCAAACACTTCCCTGTGCACCTACCACGCCCTTGACCGTGAGCAACTCTCTGGGGTTCAAGAGGAACTCACGAATTCCACTTAGATGATGTTCTCAGTCTCAAACATTAACGGACATCTACGATGCACCTTGCATGCTAAGTTAGAAAGTCGGTATTTCTAACTTCCAAATGTTCTTATCCTTGTCCCTTACGCAACAGGAAATCATGCTTTGTGATTTTTTTTACATTGGATTCTGTCCACTGGCTTAATGTGAAAAATCAACAAGGGCGGGAATGTCCACTATTAGATGCCAGGCTCTGGGCAAAACATTTTATATGTAATTATCTTGCAGACTTGAGGTTAACACCAAGTGCGTGGCAGAGCTGGTCTCGCTGGAGGAGCCCTAATTCCGGAGCCCAGCTCAAAGACCCCTAGAGCTGAGCATCAACTCAGATCCCTGGTCCATTAATGCCTTTGTTTCCTTCCCAGGCCAGTAATTCCCCTGTAGGGATCACTGAAAAAAGGGGTCCGAATTTGGCTCTATTTCGGCTAAAGTCGTCCTACAATTGTGAGGGCAATGCTAATGTCCAGCGTGCATTGAGAGCACTCTCTATCCCAAGCACAGGGACTGTGATTGTTCCGAGAAAACTGTTCAGAGTCGGAAACACAGAGCTCGGTTCTAGGTTGGGGTCACACAACTTGGAAATTAGTAATTGTGTTATATGCCTAAGTAAACCAGCTGGTAAACAAAAGGATTTTTAAGCGGCTCATCTACTCAAACAGCAAAACCTGCTCCGAAGAGAAGTCTCTTATTGAAAAAAAAGAAAACCAACAGAATTACAACATAACAAAGTTGGAAAAGAAAATTCCTAAGGACTCTTTGCCGAGTATTTCATAAGCCAAGACAGAGAGTCTGGTGATTGTAAATGGTGACCATGGTCCAAAGTCATGGTTTTCCTTCCTGACTTTGTCAGATTCCTTTGTCATCAGGTGACTATGCCAGTGACGCCACCGTGCATCCTGTCTGCATTTTTCATCGAATGAACTCCACCACGACAAGGTGCCACTGCAGGAGGAGCTCAACAGGACGGACAAAACACTCTTAAAAGAATGGGTTATTTCAACCATGGCCTGTGTTTGGCAGGTTGCTCATGCTTTCACTAAACTAGGTTTTCATCTATAAGTGATAATGGGGTCTGATTGGAAGCTTTTTGTTTTTAATCATTAAATTAATAAGGTGCCCAACCCAGTTCTCTGACTATGAAAGCTCATCAAGAGTGATACAATAGCCCAGCTGGTGTGGCTCAGTGGTTGAGCATCAACCTATGAACCAGGAGGTCACGGTTTGATTCCTGGGCAGGGCACATGCCCAGGTTGCTGGCTCAATCCCCAGTGTGGGGCCTGGAGGAGGCAGCCAATCAATGATTCTCTCTCATCATTGGTGTTTCTCTCTCTCTCTCCCACTCCCTTCCTCTCTAAAATTTATATATATATATATATATATATATATATATATATATATGCTTTTTTTAAAAAGTGACACAATAAAAAATGTAACACTCACAGGAGCCCCTGTGTTACAAAACACAAGAAGTGAAATGAACCTCAGTGTGCCTAGACAAGTTACATGCTAATGTTTTTTAATTTAAGAGATAATATAGAAAAGTTAAAAGAGATACCAGGCGACATTTTCACTTACCATGATTAGAAATAATCATTCAAACACATAACAATCTTAGCAAGGATATTTTTCACATTTATTTATATCAGAGAGATTAAGGGAGTCATTTTACCTTGTACATGAGGACTGCTTACTAATTCATGAATAAAAACCTAGGAAGGCACTTACTACGTCTATAAAAAAAAAACCCACAAATTAAAATGTCACATCAATTCATTCACTTATAGTAAACTCTCCTTTCAATAATAATATATTTTAATTTTTTTAATATTTGTTTGTTTGTTTGTTTGTTTAGACCAAAACATTTAACTCAATGATAGTACTTAACATTTTCCACCAAAATCATGTGAGACTTTCTGCTTTAAAGAATACTAATTTCTTAAGTTACCTTCTTCAAATTATTGTATAACTACACTTCTCTTTCACACAACCAGGAACCACTTTATATAGTTTATATGACAAGCTAAACAATTTGCAAATATCTTATTTTCATTTACAGTGAAAAAAATCTTAAAAATTATTTCAGCTCCAAACATAACCATATTTTTCATTCCTATAGAATTAATATGAAGTGTCATTTCCCTAAGTCTTTCCTAATTCCATGCCAAACACACGCTATATAAATCACCACGTCCAGTAAGTGCTAATCCTGCTGTATAAGCAGAACCCTATACTTTGGATGCATCTTTCCCTCCCCAGGCACAGTCTGCTGGAGCTGGAAGGGGCGCCAGAGCCATCGAATCTGACCCACCTTCTCCTAATTAAAAATATGGCTTTAAAAACATTAAGCAAAATCCCTTAAGCATTGGCAATGCTCAGAAATAAACCTGAAGTTTGCATTCAGACTTTACCTTTGTAACATCCCCAACGAATCTCCCACGGCATTCTTCACTCCTTCCTTTCCAGGCTTCAGAATTTTTTCTTTGAAGGTATCCAATGCTTTGAAAGGCATTTTGAATGGGGGACACCTCGGAGCCGTTTAACAGTCAGTCTCAGAAACTGTCATCCTCCCTCATTTCAGCGTGGGGACCACTCTGCTTTCCTTGATGGACACTCTGAAGTCAGTTCTCATGGAGGTCGCTTCTTAAAATCAAGAAGGAGATGAAACTCAGCCCGGATCTTTCAAGTTGAGACAACACCCTCCACACCCACCCCGCAAAAGAAGAGGCCAGGCCGGGGGAGTCTGGTTGGGAACCCAGCCCCTTGCCAAGCTCCCAGCTCCGCAGCAGCTGTGGGGCTGTCTCAGGCTGAGCGCAGCCTGGCTCCCTCCCTGGGGCCGCAGCTGGAGAGGCGGAGTGGGCTCCAGCCCGCAAGGTGTTCCCAGACCAGCGAGGCCAGCCACCGCCTCTGTGGAGTGTCTCCCGCCCCTCCTGCTGCTTCTGACCACATCCCCCTCCGCCTCCTCCTGCTTGGCTGTGATCACTGAGTGATCCTTTCCAAGGTGATGCTATAGTAACGAGCACAATACCTGCCCCCACAGCTGGGGCTTATGAATGGGCTCTCAGCCCAGCAGGCACCCGGGATGGAGTGGATGGAACATTGACAAGTCCTCTGCTTTTCCGAGATCTGGCCCTGCAGGCGGGCTCTCGGCCACCACATTATGCCTCTGAGGCCCCTCGTGGAGCCAGGAGACAGTGTTTCGGCCACTGTTCTCGCATGTGGTCCTTGCAGGAACAGTTGTTCTTGAGGAGGCTAAATGCAAAACACTTGCCACGAGCATCTAGGAGGGCGTTTGTGTGCTCCTCATCCAGGGAGCAGGTTCTCTCCAGGTGTGGCTCAACGGTGCCGCTGGGCACATCTGACTGAAGATACCAGAGCAGGTCTTGGACCTACTTAGAACACTTCACTGGTCCTCACTGTTCCCGAGATAAACCCAAGCTCTTTATCACAGCACACAAGGCCCTCCATGGGGGACCCCAGCCTTGATTCCTGTCACTCCGTTCTTCATATCAGCACTTCCCTGAATTCAGCAAGCTCCCTGTCGACCCAGGGGTTCGCTCAAGCTGTCCTCTCTGCCTGGAAAGCTCTCCTCATCCCACATCTGGGTAACGTCAAGGGATTCGTAAGTCTCGGTGAGGCATCACCTCCTCTAGAAACCCTCATGGACAAGGTTCACCCTCCTCTGCCCCATAGGATCTGGCATGTAGTGTGTAGCATAAATATCACACGTTGCTCACACATGTGTGGGTGGCAGGGTGACGCCTCCATAAACGATGCTGCCATGAAGAAATGGCCTTGTCTCAAGGCCCCAGTGCTCCCATCCCCCGGCCTCCACATGCCCGACGACCCCCAAGCTATGGGTCTCAGGTTCCCCAGGACCAGCTGCTGTCCTCTGCACACCAAGGTCAAATCCTTCTCCAAGATTTAATTAAATTGATCTAAACCAGAGCTGGATACTTGGTAGATTAAATGCTACTACCAATAAAAACTATTATTATTATGGCCAATATTTATTGCGCTCTCTGGTCCAAACTCCATGTTAATAAGCACTCTTTATGTATTGGCATAATCCTCCTAACACTGCTTTGTGCTTAGTAATTTATTTTCCCCAACTTTACTGACAGGAAACTAGAGCTAAGAGAGGTTAGACTTGCCAGGTTTCAGATCCAAACAGCCTGACTCCAGCCAACTCTGCTGTCTTTCTTATTCCCATATTTTCAGTTCTCCCCTCTCCTCTCTCTCTCCTCCCTCTCAATCCCTCCCCTCCCCAACTACCTCCTCTGAATTTAATGAGGTATATTTTACATATCATGTACTTCACCCTTTTCAAGTGAACAAGTGATTTTTAATAAATTGGCCAAGTTGTGCAAGCATCACCATAAAGCATAAAGCAGATAGGACATTTCTATCACCCTAATGAAATCCTCATATTCATTGTTAATCCTGGCTCCCATCCCCCACACTGCCCCAGGCAACCATCCAGCTACTTTCTGTCTCTATAGAGGTGCCTTTCCTAGAAACTTCATATAAATGAAATCAGACAGTATGTGGTCTCTTGTGTCTGGCTTCTTTCACTTAGTATAATGATTTTGAGGTCTGTCCATGTAGCAGCTTATATCAGTAGTTTCCTCCTTCTTTTTCTCTTCTCGGTGGAATGTTTTATTGTATGGACATACGACATTGTGCTTATCCATTCACCTGTTGATGGACATTTAAGTTGTTTCCAATTTCTGGCTATCCTATCTAATAAAAGTATAATATGCAAATCGACCAAACAGTGGAACGACCAGTTGGCGGGGAGCAGGGCTGGCGAGCAGGCAGTGCCAGGCGAGTGCCAGTGGGCAGAGGGAGGGGATGGTGATGTGGGGGGTGGCAGCGACCAGCAGAGGCAGAGGGGCAATGGCGGGGGGGCCATCCCCTGATCAACCACCTGGTCACCTCCCGCAGAGGGAGGCCGGACTGAAGCTTAGGCCCACACTCCAGGGGGAGCGGGCCTAAGCCATCAGTAGGGCATCCCCTGAGGGCTCCCAGACTGTGAGAGTGTGCAGGCCAGGCTGAGGGACCTCCTGAGTGCACAAATTTTCATGCACCAGGCCTCTAGTTATGAATAAACTGTTAAGAACATTCCTGTGCAAGCCTTTGTGTGAACATATCTTTTCATTTCTCTTGGGTAAACACCTAGGAGTGTAATTGCTGAATCATATGGTAAGTTCATTAATTTTTTAGGAAACTGCCAAATTATTTTCCAAAGTGGCTGCACTGTTTTGCCTTCCCACCAACATGCCTGTGCTCCTATAACCCATATATGGCACTCACCACACTGATGGACTCATCCATTTCATTCGTTTGTTTCTTCAGGGGATTATCACAGTCAACCATTATGACCAGCGCCTCAAGAAGGCCTGCCACACACCTGGCCCTCAAGAAAAGGCCCAAATGAGTAAATGAATAACATGAGCTTCAGTTCTGAAAAGTCTGGCTTTATATTGTTTCAACTATCAAATATTCTAGTGTAGGGGTTAAGAGTACAACACTGTTATTGCTAGACTTCCTGGGTCCATATCCCATTTCTGCTTCGTTTCCCACCTGTGTGAACTTGAGTCAGAAGTCCCTATTTGTAATGGGGGAAATACTGGTTCATTTCATCTAATATTATTATGGCATGGAAACATTTTCCCATTTTCCTTTATACACCATAAATGGTGTCTTGAAAAAAAAAGATTCAAGGCTTTCTTAGGTTGTGTCCAAGGCCAAAATATCCTTGAATTTCTGCTAATGTAGTCAATAAGGTTACATCACAATAATGCAGCCTAAATGTGGGAGGAAGTCAAGATCAGAGTATATTTTGGAAGATTTCTCATCACCTTCACTTTTCTTGAAAGTGCAGATGGAACGCAGAGTATCCAGATAATTTCAATACATAAAGCAGTGAACAGGGCACACACTCAGGGCATCAAGAATTAAGATGAGCCCTAGCCGGTTTGGCTCAATGGATGGAGCGTTGGCACACAGACTGAAGGGTCCTGGGTTCAGTTCCAGTCAAGGGCATGTACCTCGGTTGAAGGCTCGATCCCTGGCCTGGTGGGGCTCATGTGGGAGGCAACCAATTGATGTCTCTCTCTCACATCAATGTTTCTCTCTGTCTCTCCCCATCCCTTCCACTCTCTCTAAAAATCAATGCGAAAATATCCTCGGGTGAGGATTAATTTATAAAAAAAGAATTAAGAAGAAACCAACCTACACACTTTTGACAAATATTTTTTATAAGGCCCTATACTTCTCTTCATTTAAATTCTAGAAGCCAGATACTCTCATCAATCTGTCATAGCCTATCCGTGTTCAAAAAATGTACCTGAAAAGGGACCAATAGATGGACCATTACTTAGGAGACAGTGACATCTTCTGGTAGTTCACAGACTAAATACACTTAAGCCAGGCATCCCCCGCCCCCCACTGCGTACTGATTGTCCGTTCAGTGTACGTTTATGGAGCCCATAAGTGTGGATTCTTAAGTTTCTGAAATGTTCAACGAGGCATAAATTATTAGCTCTAAAATAATACTACACTCACTTATTTTGCTCCTTGCCTGGCTGTCATCCTGGCTTAATAGGAAATGTTTTAAGCAGCCAACATTAATTGCACTTTTCCTGGTAATCAAATCATCTGACCAAACTTGCCACCATAATTAAAGTACTTTTCATATAATCTCCGAATTTAAAAGGGCCTTGGGAGTTACCTGCCTAACACCCTCCCCAGTATGTCCAGTTTACTTTGGGAAAATGTGATTCCTAGGTAATCATTCGATCGCATCAAAAACAACTTTAAAAAGGCTCCACACAAGGCCGAGCTCAGGCCCCAACTCCTCTGAAGACGCCTTCCCAACACCTAGTCTAGGTGGGCGTCTCTGCTCTACGTCGTCACAGCACGTGCCACCCTGTCCTGTAACTGTCTGCCTACTCGGCCACCTTTGTAACCACAGCGCAGATTCCTTGAGGGTAAGGCCTGTATCTCATTACTATTTGAGTCCCATGAATCTCACAGTGCCAAGCCTAAAACCTATTTTTTCACTTGTTTTTGAAAAGTAAATGTATTTAAGTAATGCTAGGCGAGGTACCCGTTTGACCACTGCATTTACAAAACTGGCAGCTTTAAGAACAGACTCGGAATAGACTGTATGAATGTTGATTCCTACGTTCAAATTCTAGACATTCAAGTCTCAATCTCATTTATTTTTGTTGTTGTTGTTGTTGTTAAAGCGTGGAAGGGAGGGAAGGAGGAAGGAGGAGAGAAAGAGAAACATCAAATGTGAGAGAGACACATCGATTGATTGCCTCCCACATGGGCCACTACTGGGGCCAGGGATTGAGCCTGCAACCCAGGGACATGCCCTTGACCGGGAATCGAACCTACGACCCTTAGGTCTATAGGCAGATGCTCTAACCACTGAAAACCCAGCCAGGGCTCTTTTTTTTTTTTAATCTTTATTGTTGAAAGTATTACATAGGTCCTCCTTTTTCCCCCATTAACCTCTCCCAGCCCATTCCCACCTCCCTATGCCCCAGGCCCCCACTACCCCATTGTCTGTGTCCTTGGATTATGGATATACTAGAGGCCCAGTGCACGAAAATCATGCATGGGTAGGGTCCCTAGTGGCTGCCAGCTGCCAGCCGGGTACTCCCTCCCTTCCATCGGCTGCCTGCCCCCCTCCACCCCCACCCCACCGCTGCTGCTGGTCACCGCCTGTGGGGCCCTATCGCCCCACCGAACTGTGCAGTGGCCCCGCCCCCCTGCCACCTCTACTTGTTGCCCTGCAATCAGATCAGCGGGGTGATGGGCCCCTGCCCAGAAGCCAGTGGCTCACGCCCACCTTGGCCTGGCACCGCCC